GCACCCGGTTACTTAACAAGTCATAAACTTAAAGTACTTTGCATACTCATATTTCAAGTCGTTGTTTGATGTGAAAGTTGACATGGGTTTCATGCTAACCCCAAGTTACTAAGCAACTAGAAACATTGGAGTAGAAATTAACAAACTCTTTTGTATTGTTTTTTTTTTTTTTTTTTTTTTTTTTTTGTGCTTTTAAGGTGATACTAAGTCTTCTCTCTAAAATTCTCACTACAAATTTGTACTCAAGTAGAATATAATACTCATGAACTTAAACTTTATCACAATGGTGCTATTTTTTAGATTTTGTATTTCCTCTAAGATTTAAAAATTTAGAAGTTTTTGAATCTCCAACTCAAGAATATCCAACTCCTTGACACTAATTGGACCAACTCCCAAAAAAAACCCTAATTTCTAAAAAAAAATGTAAGTCATGCAAATATGAATGTGAACTAATTGATACCTTAAAGTTTTTCTCTCCCTCAAACTTAAATCAAACATTGTTCTCAATGTAAAATAAAAGTAAGAGAGAAGAGAAACTTCTCAGGTTTTGCACTTGAAAACTTAAAATTTAAGTTTTCAAGTTAAGTTGTCTTCAATTAAAGGAAACTTCAAGCATGTGAATTTTCATAATCTTGTCCTCCAAACTTGTTCAATGACCTAGGCAAAATCAAAGAACAACTTATTCATTACCTTGGGCCATCAAAAGAGAAAAAAATAATAAAAAAATCTAAACAATTAAAATAAAAGACAAAGAAACAAAAATTACTTGAATTGAAGCCTGGGCTTCAATCACTGAGTGAATTAACTTTCAAGATTAAAAAAAAAAAATAAAGAAAAAGAAACAAGTATACAATTAATAATATATAAATCAAATAAATAAGTATTAACCATATTAGATGTAGAAAAGTAATACAGATGAATTGAGGCAGTGAAAAATTGGAGACACACACCTTTGTTACTATTAGAAAAATATTAAATAGCAGAAGAATAAAAAAATTGTTCTGGGGCATGATCTCATTTTTCTTAAGGATTTAAAATTCACCATGATACAACAAAATTCAAAACTTTCTCAGAATTAGATGTAGAACTTTGATTTTGCATAAGAATTTATAATGCTTGAAAGTTACTATTTGTAGGGATGTATTC